GTAACAATAAATTATTATGTGATATTTCTTAATTGATTCTTCGATTTATATTTAGAAAGTATTTACAATCAACCATATCCTTTGAAAATGGTCATTTTACAAGGTTAAACACATATGCTAAAAAAAAAAAATAAATAAATATTTATTATCTTCATAACTATTAAGAAATTTTGATCTTCTGAGCTGAAAAATATTGGTTTGTATTACATATCTGTTTTAATTACTAACTATTAAATACCTCATTTTTTATTTCCTGAACCGCATAAAAATAACAACTTCATATTGTTTTTGAAGCAACAAAAAGATTTTGTGGGTACCTTTTTTATGTTTTGAAATTATTGAATTATTGTAAAGGTTGTTTTTATTATTGTGTTTACCTGATAATAAATATCTAACCAGGTCATCAGCTCACTAATAATCCAAAAGTCGCTATCAGTAATCTAGCGGGTTGTCAAAAATATGATAGTGTTATGTTTATGTTTAAGTAGGGGAAATGTTTTTCAACCTTAATAAAAAACAAATGTTACATATTAGTTCTTACTTAAGATTGTTTTAAAAAATAAAGTAAATAAATTAATATTTTAACTAGGAGAGTACCCCCTGTCCACCTGACGGCGGACCAACCCCAATTTTACAACTGTTCATTTAATTGCTCAAATTGTATAGCTTTAATTTACATATGTTCTGTGGTTCAGATTGTATTATTTTTTATCAACATAAAACATTTTTTTTATAAACATAAAAAACCATTTCCCTACAAATGTTTAACAAAATCCTTATTTTGCATTAAGAAAGTAAGAGGTAACATGAGCTCAACACATGTGTAATTAAATGAACAGCCGTATAATTTTTTTAAATAATCTCTGAGCTCCTGTTATCTCCTACTATCGTAATATTAAAATAAAATATGAAATTCACTTTAGGTCGATAGCCACTTTTAATCAACCTATAACATTTTTATTATAAATATGTATATATTTACTGTGTATACACAAATCAATAAAAACACGGTAATTCACAGTTGTTTTTTTTTTTTCTAAATCTTGATTATTTTAATTTCTGTTGTTATATCATTATTTGTTATCCCCATTTAGTTATTACTGATTTTAACGTTTTATTTGTTTCCTTAATTTAGTCACCTTTATTATATTTGGAATTCTTACTATGCAATTCTATTTATTCCTTTAGCTATTGCTTAAAAATAAAAAAAAAATAAAAAAACACGCTTCGGTCGGAAAAATATAATTTACGTTTAGAGAAAGGCAGGTTAAGATGGATAGGTGAAGATTTTACAATTTTTCCTGGTCAAAGTGAATTTATTTAAGAACTGACATTTTTATGTGAACTTCTTCAATAGCTTACCTGTTACCATGAGCTTTTTTAATTGCACCTCTCGGATTCAAAGGGATGAAACATGAGTATTTCCAAAAATTGCCATTATCTTCATCCTACCCAAGCTACGGAGAAAGATGAAAAAAATACTACGGATTTTGTAGGGATTTTAAAGCATCATTAGGAACTTGTTATAACAGCCTTCTTATATCATCAGTTGAGTCCGAAAACAAAATGTAGATTCACCGCATGGTCAGTATTTTTGCTTTATTAAAAGAATTGCCTTTCGAGGTGTCTTTATTTTTTTTGGAGACTCCCTAACATCAACACTTTGGTATGTGTTCTCATAATATACTTAAATAAAAACAATCTCTAGCAATAACTTTTCCAGCAGTTTTTTATGTTCTTATGTTAAATTACTTTTGCATTTAGTTTAAAATGATACTATTTATTTTGACATTAGCCGACGTTTCGACTTGAAGTTCAGGCCATCATCAGGGCTAATTACGGAGATGTAAATCTACACAATCAAATAAATACTGGGTGGGTGTTGCGGTCACAGACAGCGTGTATTGCATAGATTTACTTCTCCGAAATCAGTCCTGATGATGGCCTGAACTTCAGGTCGAAACTTCGGCTAATGTCAAAATAAATAGTATCATTTATTTTTGCCTTCTTATTTGACTGATCACCCCAACTATTCTTCTCTCCTATATATATTTTACATTTTAACTTTGTAACGATTAACAAAAAATTTATATATATAAAACATTATTATTAATAAACAAAATTCATAATTGACGAAAAAGTTTATAATTAGTCATCATTATAATTAGAAAAAAACGTTGCAACACATTCGATTGGATCTTCTTGACACAAGCTACTTGTCATTGAAGATGCAGAGGCAGTGGAGGAACCGGATATGGTTATCTGTGTTTGGCGAGGTATATTAATTCATAGACGATTGACAGAAAGTCTTTTAAGTCCACTTCAGCTATGAAATCATTTATTTTCTTCTCTACTCTCTTCCTCTCTAAAGGAGACATCTCTCTCAATTTTATGGCCCACAATTTAGCCATCAAATCGCACTCATCAAGGGGCGGAGGTTCCTATTTAGATTTTAAGAAATCATAAGCCACTTGTAAGAACTCGTCTAGTTTTGATGAGGTGCCTTGCCCTTTTTTCCTTTTCTTATTTGAGAGTTCAAATACCCCCAAAGATGAAGATGATGTTAAAGGTTGCTCTTCATCACAAGGTTCCTCAACTCGAGATTCCTGCAACATAAACATCAACTCCTCAGTGGCTGTTTTTATCCAATAATTACTGACAGATATATCAAAAATACTAATAGTAATATAAAATAAATATCAATTCTTTGTTACATATTTTTTTTAATTTAATCAATTTTTAATAATAACTTCATACCTCTGTTATTAATCTTATCAACAAGATTTCTCCAATAATAAACACATTTTTTTAAAATAAGCATCAAGTACAAAACAAGAATTTTTATACAGCAAAAAATTTCATTGATATTTATATTAGATAATAATTTAATTAAATATCTTAGTCTAAATTTTTAATGCAGTCCTTTCTATTTTTAGAAACAATTTCATTATTGTTTTATATTTAACTTTTTTCTAAAATAAATGTGTTTATTGCTGGGGATTTATTAACCTTTCTTTAATTATCACTTCCTATTATAAAAGAACACAAAACTTGGACTTCCTACTTTTCTGCTGGAATTTGGCCCATTGATTATATGAACTTTTTTGTGACTATTGAGGTCTGTCTGCTATCCCTCCTATAAATATTTACCTCTACATACAGGACATCCTATATACTGTAGTAACAGACACTACTATAAACCTAACAAAAATTATAAGCAATCATAACAAAGAAAACTTAATTTAAAAAACTTGACTATTTAATATAATTATCATGAAATGCACTTAAAATGAAAACATTACTAATTTGATAACTCCAATTAGTTAATGGACATTGATGTTAATTGTGCCAATATTACTAAACTACTGAATAACGAGAGGTATTAATCAAATAGCACACTAAGTAAATTAAATTCTACAACTTTAAACCAGAAAATAAGTTAAAAAATATAAATTAAATTATAACATGAATAAATAACTAAACAGATGAAACAAAACATTACCATTTGAGTTTGCTGGACATTGTTTAAAGTTGCAGGGGCTTAAGAATACCCTAAACATTTTAGGGAATGAAATACCCAAGATGTGGGTTTGTATACTTCTGTTGTAGCACATCCGCTCCTAGATGTTTTAATTTTATTACGTTCTCTTCGGTAATTTGACCGAATAGAGAGACTTAACATATCTTCTGCACTAGTTAGCTCGTCATTGCTTTCTTCAATGTAATTAGTAAATGGGTCCATTTTCTTATAATTGACCTAAACCAACTTTGTTGATCAGCTGAGCTCTAAAAGGGACCCTACGTGGTCAATCGGAATTGCACTAATGACGTTCCGAATTATCGTGTAAGGTAGTGAATGAAGTACTGATGGTGGTGCGTTGCGGATTTCCGAACATCCGGAAATCAAAGGTTCATTCACGAGAAGTGGAGGGGGGACTGAGGTAAAAGTAGTGGGGACACTAACCATACTGCTGAATAGGTTAGGTTACCTAGGCCTCACAAACATTATACATTTCTGATTTTCATTATATGTAAATAGTTAAATAAATTTTCATATCCCTTGTTTATAATTTTAAACCATCTTCAACTATTTCTTTTTAATAGTCAAGTGGGCAACAAATTAAAAAAAAAATGAGGAAACTTCACAATTTACTTTAGGAAAAAAAAAAACTTTAACGTTGTGTATATTTCAGTTCTTTTCCCATTTTCCTCAACAAATTTATTATTTTCGCAATATCTTTCCTTAATTTTTGTAAGTAGTAGACTTATATTTTACTAACTTTTGTCAAAACGATATGAGACTAACCTTACTACTAGATAGGTTAGTTTACCTAGGTCTCGTTATTAAGTAAATAATTTCATAAAAGTAAATAGTTGTTTATATCCCTAGTCTATATTATTATTAACCATTTTCAACTATTTTTTCTTTAAATAGTCATGTAGGCAATAAATTGGAGAGAAAAAAATGGAAACTTCACATTATTAATGATCAGTAATGATTGAACGTGTAAGGGTCTTCTTGATCAAAGCGATAGCGGGCAATCTCGGAACTTCTTGTGACGTTCATTCATGAATTACCGTGTAGGGTCTGCTTAATAAACAACTAACGACGCTACGGACAGACTCACCGCCATTTTTACCTCAGTATCCCCTCCATTTCTCGTGAATGAACTTTTGATTTCCGGATGTTCGGAAATCCGCAGCGCACCACCATCAGTACTTCATTCACGACAATTCGGAACGTCATTAGTGCAATTCCGATTGACCGTGTAGGGTCCGCGAATTAAGGAATACATTGAATTCCATGTATGAATCCATCGATGAGTTTAGAAACGGCTCGATGCTTCCCATTGATTTTATGAACTTGTTGATACTGAACTACCGTTCAACCTCCTTGGTTTGTAACAATTAAATAACCTCCTAAAGTGTTGACAAACTTGTTTCCCGCTAATATGAAGACAGGGTTTACAAAATTAATTTTAAAATAAGTTGGAATTCTAATGCATAGACATGTTGAAAATGAAGTACCGCAAAAGCACGAAAGTATACCTTCAACCACCTTAGATCCATTTGAGATGGTGCGTATGGGTTTTTTAAGGGAAGTTGGAAACCAGGCAATTTGGACCCTATCTTCTTGTAAACCCGGTAACAATAACATAGTTTACATTATTACAAATTCTTTATTAGTGATGTCTTATTTTATAATTTCCATTCTTCATTTATAAATACTTAAAAACTCAAAGTTATGTCAAACACCTTTAATTGAATTCCTATTAGAAATTCTACTCTGATTCAGGCTTTGGCGTTGACCAGCTACGAGATGACCTTTTGGATACATATTGGCAATCTGATGGGCAGCTGCCACATTTAATTAGTATTCAATTCAAAAAGAAAACAGTTATTGCAGATATATGTATATACACAGACTATAGAATGGATGAGAGCTATACACCTTCACGGTATGTTAACATTTGAAAATTTTTATAGCATATATTGAATATACAAAATATGTATATAAAGTTGAAACTAAATCTACGTAGCATAGATGTTATATTTTCTTGCACTGTTATCCTTTTTTTGTAGACTTGCAACTCATATTTAATAGAATATATTGATTTCAAAGTTACCAGAATTATATTAGATGATTTATGTCATTGATGCCTTCTCAAAACAGATAAATGTTTTATTTACATTGTAATAAGGGTTTTTGCAGGCTTCTTGTGACAATTTGGTTGTTATCAATATTATTATATCAAGTATAACAAATATTGTATTTTCTTTATATATTTAGTAACTATAATATACAATTTATAGTTAGATATTCTCCTAGTTTTTATTATTTAATTCTTTGTGATCGTCTGGTAATATTATACCTCATGGATTTAAGTTAATTTTTTAATACTAAATTCATGATAGAACTAATCATGGTACTATTAACAAACGTTCTTCCACTTTTGTGAGGCCACAGAATCTTATAATCATACCATAAGTGGAATCCCAAAAATGAAGGTGACCAAACCCAACAAGGTGTCTGGTAAGGCCCCAACCTCAATTGAATAATACCTGTTTCGGATTTGTCTTTCCCTTTCGAGTGAGCGTAGTGAGATGAAGTAATAAGCAGAAGTGTTATTACACTTAATTAAGGGCCCTCATTTTCACTGAAAAGGACAAGTGTGATGATTATTTATGTCACAAATCGTGATTTAAATAAAGGGAATTTATAATGATAATGTGTTTTCAATCCTCCACTATTCTTGGAATTCCATTTATAGCAAGATCATGGGATCTTGATCCATTTGGCAAAGCGGAGTAACCTTTGTAAAGTCTTACTCTGATCCAAAAACTAAAAGAAACATCAAGACTAAAAAATATATCTTCTACACCTTTTCCTTGAGGGAAGACCTGCTGCCATTTTTTAATATTGTTGAAGTGTGAATTTATTAAAACATTATGTTGTACGAATTGCGATCATCAATGCCTTTTATTTATATTTTATGCTATACCACAAAGCATTGATAAAGAAATTAAATAAATAAAATTCATTCAATCTGATAATAATGAAAATTAGTTGATTAATTAATTAAAGAATCTTTGTACTGAAAGGATATTAGGATTGTATAGAGTATTAATCACAATGGAATATTAATCATCAAAATGGACGTTATACACATATACAACAAATAAAAGTGCATTCTCTTGCTGATCCTTTGTTTGGTGGTTTAGGACACTGTACCCCAGGGGCAGATCTACGGGAGGGGCTTTGGAGCTGAAGCTCTCCTCCTCCCCCAAAATAGTAAAATATTTTGGGGGTTATGTTTTATGGAAAAAAATTTTCTCTTAAAGTATCATTGTTCGTGTAATTACATTTAAAAAGACTTTAGGAATCACTTAAACACCATTTCATATAGGTAGTTAGTTTCTTTCTTTTTTTCCAAAGTAACTACCGTTATTTTTATGAAAAAAAAGCTTTTGGGCTGAAGCCCCCCAAAATTAAATCCTGGATCCGCTAGTGCTGTACGCAACAATTTCCTACAAAGTTTACTATAATAGGATTGTATAGAATATTAATTACAATGTTTCTTTTTTTCCCTTTTAACCATTTGATGCAAAAAAAATACTCATCTAAAATATAGATTGTTGTTAATATATTTAGTGAGCGAGGTATCTCAATGAGAAAGGCATTTCTTTTCTATTCGCAAGGCTTTAGGCTCAAGTATGGCTCTAAGGAATAATTATTTATTCTTCTTAATCAGCTGTGGAAAGCCCCTGGGGTTGGGAGTACTGGGGCACATCCAACTATAAAGTAATTTATAAGTGGTATATAATAACAATGTCTGAAATGGTTCTTATAACGTTGAATAATAATAATGTTGTAGTGGTTTATTTGTTCTTAATTACATTAATTATTTACGTATAATTACTAACCAAGCTAATGCGTTTGAGATGAAATTTAAATGTCACAAACCATGAAGGCCATCATGCATTACTTGATTTTAACCAAATTTTTCATTTTGTTAGAAGCAATCCAAACACAAGTTTCATTGGTTCCAATTTTGTTCTAATTTTAATACGACATATTGACGAAAAGTGTCTGGAATTTTCACTGCCTTGAGATACTTGAATTGTGTATGAATTTTTTCATGTGTTTTTTCTTTTTTTTCGTCGGTCCAAGGCTCACACAGAAATTCTATACTGTATACTGTTTCTTGTACACAAAGAAGTTTTATGTCCTAATGTTTTAGTTTTATTTTGCTGGAATTTTCATCAAAATATTATTTGATGTGAATTTACTTAATAAATTTCAGATTATCTATTCGAGCCGGTTCGAGTTACAATGATATTCAAGAGATAGAAACTGTAGAATTCCACGAGCCAAATGGTTGGGTCGTCATTCCTGTAAAAAGTGCTAAAAATGGTGTTCTTAAGACATTTTTACTCCAGATAGCTGTAATTAGTAATCATCAAAATGGACGTGATACTCATATACGACAAATAAAAGTGCATTCCCCTGCTGATCCTTTGTTTGGCGGTTTAGGACATGGTACGCAACAATTTCCTACAAATTTTACTACACGTGAATTTTTACAATATACTACACTTAGGTGAGTGATGTAATTGAATAATAAGAAATTAAATTTATCTATGGAAAGTATATTCATTTTAAAAATGTTAAGTTTTGTACTTAAAAATTAATTACATTGTTCTTATCTATCTTGTTTTATTTTTCCTCAAATAAACTTTGTAATATTTTTTAAGTTGTGTATGTATGCATGTATATGCCTAAGATCCTATATTCATATATGGTGCTCAAACTGTAACCCTTTCAGAATTATGATCTAATCTGTCAGTTGTGAGTTTTAAAAAATATAAACTAGTTTATCAGCTTTTTGACTCAAGAGCCGTCTATTTTCTCTCAAGCCATACGCTAGTTAGTATCAATCATTCCCACTAGAGTTCTTAGAAATGCCCTTTCACTTACCGATATTTGAAATTGATAGTAAAGGTGAGCTTTCCAATTATCAAAATTTTTAATCCTATTTTTCAACGGAAATGCAAGTTTTTAGGACCTCTAAGGAATCATAGTAACAAAATCTCCCAAAATGGTCTTTCTGTTAGTGTATATATGTTTGTGTGTACTTGCTTGCATTTGAACATTCTAGTTAAAAAAAAAAAAATCTTAAGAAACTGAAATTAAATATTTAAGGTATGTTACAGTTTAATATGCTGGGGATGTTACAGAAAGTTTTTTTTACTCAAATTGACTAACCGGAAGTGTCACTTCATATCATTGATTTTTCTCAAAAATGACTCCAATAATTTTGATTAAATTTATTATATAAGTGTAAAATTAATTTGTCTCTAATATCAGGCAGATATTATTGAATTTTTGAAATGGTGTAACCTGGTTTAAATGCCGAATTTTCAAAATTTCTTTCTCTAAGGTGTATTTGATTTTGTTCATTTGAAATAGTTAACCATTACATATTGTAACTAGTAATAAAAAATGGTTCCATATTAACTACATACGAATTTGATGATTAACCATAGGAGAAATAATAAGTGAAGAGAAGGATGGTTGGGGTGATCAGTCAAAATAAAAAATGGCAAAAATAAATAATTATAATTATTAATATAGTAATATCATGAATATATTATCTATAATATATCTTTCTTCCATTATATACGCTTCCTGTACTTTAGATCAAAAATGTTTTCAGTCAACCGTTAGAGATGGCGCAACAATACAGCTCCCTCCTCTGTTTCTATGATACCGCTATCTCTCCAAGCTTTTGCTCCGATCAGGTGGTTTGTTTATCTTGTCTTAGTTTTCTCCTTATTTCCTCCTTCCTGTCACTCTATTTTCCATACCTCCATCTCTACTTTGTGTATATTGATACATTTGCTCATTTATTTTTTTTTTTTACTTAATTTTACCTTTTTATTCTCTGTCTTATACGTAGCCAGTATATTTGGATAGATTTTACAATATCTCAATTTTCTATTTATTATTTCCTTATATAACATCATTTTTCTTTCCTTTGTTTTACATTTTATTCTAAAATTACCATTTTTAGTTCTTATGTTACCTTATTTTGATTATGTTTACTTCATTATTCCACAATTGTTAGCCGTTATTATTATTTATTTCTTAGTTATTGTTATTGTTATTATTCTATCTACTTTATTTTACTTTAATGTTCACTTATCTACTTCATTTTATTTTAAGTTTTTCTACCTACATTGTTTATGTTTCTCATCCCTATTGTTATATGGTTCAACCACCCTTCTCTTCAATTATTTACTACAGTCAACTATCAATCCACAATTGAGAAATAATAAGAGTTGATCATAGATTAGTTCTGAAAACTGGAAACAGTCGAGAGAGCCAGACTTTCCGATCCTCCTCCATTTATCAGTACAATCTCATGTAAAAAATCTAATGTCACTACAAAGGATACCTATTGTTATTACTTGACTAAGGACAAACAAACAAGGATTATGTGATTGGGTTGTTCGCTAAAAGGTATGCAATGTTATTTTAAGCGACCAGCTGGATTAATTTTAAAGTTTAAGGGCTCAAATTATTCGCTCAGATCCCTTGAGTGTTTTGAAACAATTTGAGTAAAAAAAATTTGACCCGTGATTGAATAAAATTTGTTTAATCAATTTACTATGAGGTATGTAATGATTTTTCGATCGAACACGTGGAATGATTTTTATAATTGATATCTTAAATTATTTTCTGAGATTCTGTGAGAGTTATGAAAAATTTTTTTTGGCAAATTACTCGGATGGGATAATTGATTTTTAATTTTGACAGCTGTAATTACTCAGTTAAATCCTATGAATGTTTTGAAACAATTTGAGCACAAAATACTGAGAAAAAAAATTATTATAGTTCAAGTATCTCGATTATAAATTGATTTCAAATGAGATGATGTGCTCATATGTTATGAAAGTGTATTGTTAACATTTGAAAAACAAAAAATGTGAAAATAAAAAAAATATTTGAATTAAAAAAAAAACCTCATACCGAAATTGGGAAATTCTATCCACCCTAAGGGAATGTACTTAGATTTGTATCTAAACATCTTGGTAGATTGATTGGGAAATTGACATCTACGAATATTTGAACTTGGTGTTGTGGTCGGGTTCCTATCACACCCTGATTGAAACTCAAGACTCTTTCAGATGTTGGCATCCACCAATACATGGGATGGTGAATAATGTGTTTTCCAAAAGCTGTAATGTGTAGTGATAAGCAACCAATTATAACACCAAGTTTAAATATTCGTAGATATCGACTTCCTTTCCAAGCTTACAAGATGTTTAAGTAGATATGGAAGTCCATTCTCTGGAAAGAATTTCCCAATTTCTGTAGTCGTTTTTTTTTTTTTTAATTCAAATGTAGTTTTTATTGTAAGTTTAACTGTTCTCGCATTTCACTTACTCATAATTTTCAAAAATGACTTTTAATCTGAAATGAGGACCATCTACTAATTCTCTATATTTTTTTCTTAATCATTGATATTGATGTGTAATGTTTTTTTTTTTTATGAATTCTAATGTTTATTCTTGCCTACATGATCATCTTTTTTTTTCTTCTCTTCTTATTATTTGAATTTTTTTTTTTTTTTATGCATTTGTGTGTTCTGGTTCTTGATTCCAGTTTATTCATGTGTTCTTCTTTTGCTTATCAGCTGTTTAATTATAACCTTCTTCAGCTTTGTTTCCTCCCTTTCTTGCTGTATACGTTTGGATGTCATATAATATCATGTCATCTTAGTTTTTTTTTCCCTCTGTTATTATGAGTCCTTAATTGCCTAAACATTGACAGGTTGTTTTGTCGTTTACCTCCATTTTAGAGACATAAGACTGTGTGGTTGGATGTTTTTCAATTATAACCTTAAGTGTATTATCTAATGTAATAGTACAAATATATTTTTTCCTTTGCTTTTTATTATTTTATAACTATTTATTTCATTTATATTGTTGTAATTATTTTATGAATTAACTTTTTTATCTTGATTAATATTGCCCTTAATTGGGACAGAATATAACATTTTACAAAAACGAATTGTTTTTACGTTTTCTACATACAAGGAGCTTTGGACAATATCCATAATCTCTATCCACAATAAGAGGAGTTCATGTCGGCTATAAATTAATTATACATTATCATTACATTATTCTAAAAAAGTAGACTAAAACAGTTCAATATTTATGAAATAAGTTAAACAACTTGAGACAATGGATGCTCCAGGAACCAGGAATATATATTTACAAGGGATTTATTTACGTAAATGGTTTGTGAAGCTTTATGCATTATTTTATTTAATAATATTATAATCCTTAAATCTTATAAGTATCCTGTAATGATATCTAGTATTACTAGCAGGGTACCTTTCTCGTCATGAACCTGTAATATGAACAAAATATTATAAGTGGATATAATTAATGTATAACATTAATATTATTTAGGATAGAAAATAAAATTGATATTTTACCTGTAAGTAATTGGATCAAGGCAAGAGAAACCTGGACCGCAACGATATTTCTTTAAGCAGCAGTGAGTGGGTGAGCATCGAATCCCACGAGGAGGTAAGGCATTTTCTGAGAATTGATAAAAATTATTATTCCATCTAGGAAATAATAATAAAACCAGGGAGCAGGATAGCTCAGTGGGTAAAGCACTGAGTTGCTAACCTCAAGATCACCGTTTCAAATCTTGCTGATGGCAAGTAATTATTTATTCTGTTTCATCAGTCTTGGATCAAGCCTCGGCTTGTGAGACTTAGTCCTATTAAATAATTAATTAAGGGCGAAAACCTAGCAATTAAGCATGGTCTTGGTCTGATCACCTCCCTGCACTACCGTTGTCCTTGAAACAGCACTTCCTAATGGTAGTACTGAACCCAAGACCCTCTATGGATTGTAGTGGTGCAGGTTATTTTTATTATTCTAATTGAAATTCCTGAGGGATAAATTATAGTTACAATATTTAAGCGCGGTACAAGTTTTTAATTCAAAAACCACTTAACTAAACCAATCAAATACTAATCTACTTCTAGATTGAGTTATAATTTATTTTAACCTTTTTAGTTTTTCCAGTATTGGCAATTGGTGTTCATCACATATGATCATGAAGTTATGTATTATATGATATGATAAAAAAACAAAAAAAAAAAATTGTTCACAATATCTCACTGAGTTATTTGAACCATTTAACTTAAAAATCAGTGCTGACCATTCACTGAAGATATTACATATCTCCAAACTAACACAATATGTTGAGCTAAATGTTTTTCAAAACATGAGCGTTCATCAAATAATTTCAGCTATCAAACATTTAAATCATTTAAGTTACATTCTGTCATATAAATAATTGGATTTAATACAAGAATGAATATTTATTATTAACCTTTGACTTGGACATAAAATCCTGCAGGAGGTTGCAGTTCTTCAGTGTCTTGGATGTTGGAGGGCAATGATTGATGTTCTCCATTGCACAGGTGAAACACAGGCGCAGATAAGGTTAACAAAATAGCGAACATGATCATACTAATGGACTAAGCTGAACTTTGAATTTCACCTCACACCTTATAGCTCCTTATTTGGCCTCATTTTTTTTATTAAGGTTTCTAGGAAAGTAGATTAAATATATCTATGTTTAACTTCTTTAATAATCTATATATTATCTAATTTTCTGTGGTTAACAGTTTTTTATGGCCTCACTAATCACTGAATTAAATTCCTGTGCTTAAGTATTCAGTTTAGTCGAAATCTATATAAAAATATTATCGATTAAACCATGATAAATTGAAACACATTACATTTACACTTCAAAGAAATACCTGCCCTCTAATTTATATCGAAAATAACCAAATTCCTTGGACGGACACTGCACAATACCTTGGTCTTACCTTTTACAGAAGGATGACATGGATTACACAAGTCATAATGAAACGGAAGACTCTCAATAAACGACTCACACTACTTTACTCATTTTTTCCAAATCATCAAAACAAGAACTGAGACAGTAACTAAATAAATACATATACTTACTTAATCCAATATGGACTTACTCCTCACAAATATACGGAATAACTAAAAAGACCCACTTATAATAAAATTTAAACTTTCCAATAAAAAATATTATGACTTATAACTAAAGCACCTTGGTAACAAAACCTTACATGCCAACTTCCTCCTCCCTACAGTTGACCACCAAATAAGAACTCTTTACAAACGATTTAACAATAATTTTCACAGACTTACTAACATACTAATCAGAGATATGGCTTCAGCTGTCATGCCCATCAATACGAGAAGGAGACTAAAAAGGCGTAGGATGAGAGACCTCCTTCCTTGACAAACCATTGCAACTGATTGAAGCAATTGAAGAGGTACTGCTCGGTGCTATCGTTCCCCATGCCTGACATATCAGTTTTTGTTTAATCAGACCATCTGCTGATTGTTAACAGTTGTCAACAAGTTGTAGGTGCAAATTGGTATTGAAAGTTATAAAAAAATAAAATAAAAAGTATTCAGAAAATGTGTTGTATCAACTATTGTAAATATAATTGGGGATTAAGTGAATAATTGAAGAGAAGATTGGTTGAGGTGTTCAGCAAAAAAAAAAAAAAAAATTTATTTTTATTTTTGCTGATGTTTCGTCCCAAAGCTCAGGCCTTCATCAGGACTGGTCAGACGAAAGAATGGAGTTGCAGAAATCTTTAATAAATCTTTTGGGAATCTTTTTCTGACTAGCCCTGATGAATGCCTGAACTTTGGTCCGAAACGTCTGCAAAAATAAAAATAAATTATTTATTTATTTTTTTTACTAAACACCACAACCAATCTTCTCTTCTATTGTAAAATTAGTTGTAATATTGTAAAAAAAAAAAGCTTTCAGAAATCACCTGTCCTAATATCTATCCTATGGAAATTTACTTGAAATTATCATCTATGGATATTTAAAATTAGTGTTGTAGTCGAAAACTTTCCACTACCCATCATGGTTCATGCTATGTAGATTTGGTCCCATGCGAAAGAGAGATTCCTGAAGGATAATGGAAGGTTCACATGCAGCCTTGTAGGGATATATGAGGGGATGAGATATATATAAGTAAATATATATGAAATTAAAATAAAATGTTTTAAATGCTATTTAATGGCCACAACATTTTAAGGTTTTGAAATGTTGTGGCTAACTGGCTAATTATTATTATCGTAATGGTGCTACGGTCCTGCAAGAACTGGGCCCCCTCTACTACAGCCAACCCATCCCCACGGTCTTGTGCTACTTCCCTCCATCTTCGAACGCCCGGCCGCCTCAGATCATCCTCAACATCCTCCAACCATCTGGTCCGAGGGCGCCCTCTATTTCTTTTGCCATCCAGCTTCTCATGCAGCATCCATATGACCTAACCATCTGATTCTGGCTCTTTTTATCGATGCCACAATATCAGGTTCACCATAGAGTTCCCGCAGCTCCTCATTCTTTCTTCTTCTCTAAATTCCATTCTTAAAGATTCCATCCCATATTCTTCTGAATACTTTCCTCTCCCAGGAGTTTAGCGTGCTTTCTGAGATTTGGTTAAGGTCCAAGTCTCACCCCCATACATAACCACTGGCCTTACTATGGTTTTGAATATGAGAAATTTGTTTCTTTTAGAGAGTGATCTGAACTTCAAGTCTCTTTGCAGTGAGAAATAGCATCTATTTCCTGTGTATGCTAAATATGCATTTCCATCAACATGATGTTCTGAAGATTACGAGTTTGAATCCCAGTGCCCATGGAACTTTTAACTCTGGCATAAAAATCGCTAGCACTCTCCCTTAAATGGAAAAAAAAAATGGCAAGGGAGAGGAGAAAAACAAAATTTTGTAAAACTGCATTTTTTTATACCTCAGGTTGTTATTTTTGTTTCTCAGAACATATCTTTTTATTCATAATTGTGGATTGATGGTTGACTGTAGTGAATAATTGAAGAGAAGAATGGTTGGGGTCATCAGTCAAAATAAAAAAATTCTAATACTCTTCTTTCTCGTATTCAGGAGAGGGTCAAGACCCAAGTTTCACTGTGATAGCTTATAATGAAATGATAAAATTTAATAAAAATTTTCTTTATTTGGGAAAAAGTTCCTTAAGAAACATAAAAGTCTGGTGTGCGCATCACACGACTTTCACTTACCACCCTCTTAGTAGAAAAAAGTCTGTGTTTTTCAGTGTAAGTATTTTCAGATAACAGAAAAGTGGAAGTAAAAATTGTAGACTTTATATTTATTCACATTTCATTATGGGTTTTTTATTTGTTTAATTATCATTATATATACAAATTTTAATTTTATATCGGTGTAATCTATACAATTAAATATTAAATAATACCAACAATAGCATTTATGAAAACCTTATTTGTATAAGTACATAATATTGTCAAAGTCTATATGATATTAAGAAGCTCATGTTATGTATGGAAGACTGTTATAATCTTTCAGGCATGCTCGTATTCCTTTGGTTTCTCCATTTTAACTATTATCCGTTAGGATCTCTTATTTCTCCTTATGTTAATTATCAAATTCTTTCATTTTTTATATCAAAGATTAATGTGAAATGGTTAATTATTATTTTATATCAAATAAAAAAAATTAAAGTTACCATAGAGGAACCTGATATTGAAAATTAGCCATTTAAGTCCTGTTAGAGGACATCAATGAGAATAAAACCTACATTATATTAAAAACTGCTTAATAATACACTGATATACTGAGTTTTTAACAAAATTGGTACAGCCGTTGTTAAGAAAATTTTATAATAATGTGTTAAATCAATTATATAAAATGCCACTTCTGGTAAGTAATTTTGACTAAAAAATTGCTTTAACATCCAAGGTATATACAAGCCTTAAATATGCAATTTAACTTTCATACGACTTTTCGTTTTTGAGCTAGACTGATTACACACACAGACCATTTTATGGAATTTGGTTATTTGGACTCAGGAGACCTCAAAACATATATTTCCATTGAAAATTCATATTAAAAATTGTTAGGATTTTGTTTGTTTTTATTTAGCTTGTTAACTCAATGAAACGTTTATCAAATTGCTGATGAAATGGTTTGTGGAGAGAGCTGAAGAAGTCTAGGCAAGTACCAATGTGGATTTCGCCCTGGAAGATCTACAATAGACCACATATTTTCTATGAGAGTTATGCTCGAAAAATGCCATGAGTGTAATGTCGATCAACATCAACTCAAGTTTTAGGATACTCACCTAAGCTTGTCAAGCTTGTGATGATGACCCTGCAGGATAGCAAAGGTGTGGTGAAAATTCAAGGTGAGTTTTCGAAAGAATTTGACATCCAGAAGGGTGTGAAACAGGAAGGTTCTCTTTCTTCAATATTGTTCAATATAATTTTAGAAGTAGTCATGCGATCGATCGGCACAAAGTTAGGAGGATGTATAAATGACAGAATGACTCTACATCTAGCATTTACGGATGGCGTAGTCATTACAGGAAGGACATCCAATGCACTCTATGAGCCTTCGAGGAGTGTGAAGAAGCTGCAAAAGAGCATGGCTGGTCATAAATAAAGACAAAACTAAATATGTGTTAGCAGCGACGAAGCTGAAAGGCACTAGATATATCGATGGAACTGGACGTTGTTTCAAAAGAGTACCACAATTTAGATATCTAGGCACTGTTATCACTGAGAATAATAACATAAGCGAAGAAATAAGTGTTATTGGTCCCTAAGAAAAATCTTTCGAAATTGTGATATACCAAGATTTCTCAAAATAAGGGTATATAAGACGGTCCTGCAACCAGTTGTTATATATGGAAGCGAGTTCTGGACACTCACACTCAACAATGAGGTGCGATCGAGCAGGTGGGAAAGGAAAATCCTTCGTTTATGGCCCAACCAAAGAAGGAAATAATTGGTTTATGAAGACAAATGACGAGCTGAAGTAACTATATAAAGCCCCAAGACATTATATCCACCATAAAGAGGGGAAGGATATGATGGTTGGGTCATGTGCAAAGAATGGGGCATGATAGACTCCCTAAAATGATGATTGAGGGACATCCGGTTGGAAAAAGATAAAGAGGTAGGTATAGACTTCATTGGCTGGAAGACGTCAAAAATGATCTAAGGAGCCTGGGTGTAGGCAGATGTAGAAGGCTGACAGGTCGATTTGGAAGAAGATACTAGAGGAGGCCAAAGTTCCACTAGGACCATCGGATGATGATGATGTTAATTTAATGTGTTTTTTTTTTATTGTTTGAAACCTTAGGCCAGAAGCAATCTTGTATTTTTGAACGATTTTGTTATTATCAAGCATCTTGTCCCAGAATAAAGTTATTTTCTGTCGGTCTATCGGTATAAAAAAATGCTTTTTTTCTGAACATTGGAGGCAGATTTAATTTTCATGTATTTTAAATCAATAACTTTTTAGCCTGATAAAAAAAATATTTTTTCTTAAAAAACTTCATACAATTTTTTAAAGAAGGGCCTAACTTGAGGCATCAAAATTTGTTATAAAGTGGTATGTATAATTACTAATATTTAATTTATATTCAATTCATATATTTTTCGTAATTATTGTGTGAATTTACATATATTTATTACTATTGTCCATAATTAAGAAAGAATTAATATTTTATAATAAAAACTGTTTCTACATCTTTCAGTATTCTTGTATGTGGTATTGTACTCAATCAGCTCAAAAGGATATCCATAATCTCTTTCTACAATAAGAGAAGTTTTTGTCGGTTTTTAATGAATCATACACGATTTCACTATTCTAAAAAGTAGTTAGATTTATATGAAATGAGTAAAACAAGGACTCGTGCACATCACGTTGCTATATAGTCTTGAATTTCATTTTAAGGAGACAAAGAAATTTAATTTAAACAAAAATGGAGTGGATACACAAGGAACCAGGAAGATATATTTATTTATTTACTCAACTTTTTTTAGTATTTTTTGTGCATTAGTTTATTTAATAAAATTTTTTTAATCCTTAAAGTTTTTATCTATTAAACACTGGGCTGCAAGGATCCGCATTACACACATAACTGTAATATGAAAAGAATATAGTTATTGTATATAATTTACCATATATATCAATGTTTAATGAGACTGAAAAAATAATATATCTTACTCCAAGGTTTTTCCATCAAGGCAAGAGTAATTCGCTCCACAAACTTGGCCACTTGCACAGCATGAAGTGGCTGTGCAGTGAACCAAATTAGAAGATGAGTTGGACTCTGAAAATTTATAAACAAAATTATTGTGCACTAATTTAATTTTACATAAAGCTATGTTTTATTTTAACCATTTTAGTTTTTTATGTATTGCCAAATTATATTCATCATGTGATCATGGAATTACCATCAATTTTAAAAAGAACTGGATAGCTCACTGGAGTGCTGGGAGGAGAGGAGGTGCGGTCAAATAAATACTAAATTATAGAAATAGTATTATAATACTAATATAATAATACTATTTCTTTTAATAATAATAATTTAAAAAAAGACTAAAGATTGTCCTTAGAACATACCTTTCTTCAGGATTAATGATAAAAGCTATAAGTATCTGGGTTATTCCTTCCTTATCTTACAGCTTTGGAATTTTAAAATGGTCCACAACGTCACTCCCCAGGAATTGGATAGGTTAATAAGAAAAGTATGACGGGTTCCAGAATGCACCACCCGACTGCATCTATGGCCAGGCTTTACCTGCCAAGAAAGGAAGGAGGTAGTCTTACAAAGGAAGTCTTATAAATATTGAAGAGTCTTGTCGAAGTCAAGAAAAGAACCTAAGGGAGTACTTTAAACAAAGCGCAGTGCTGTGCCATAAGATAATCTGCAATCTCGATCGCGGACACACTGCTCTACAATTAGCCTTTCATGAAACTGCGCCAATCTTTATTAAAGACAAAGACTGACTGGAAGAGTAAAAGCATTACATGGAAGATTTTCAGCAGATTGAAATAAACATATCTTTGTCCGTTAGCTGGCTGGTTGGAGGAAGTCTGTTCTCCAAGACAGAAGGTTTTTTTACTGCAATTCAGGACAAGGTTATAGCTACCAGATCCTACTGGCGAAACGTCTTGAAGCAACAGAATGTATCGGCTCTGTGCAAGCCCATATGAATCCATTCAACATATAACTGGAGGCTGCGGAGCCCTTGCAGGTACGGAATACCTAAAATTACATGACGATGTTGCCAAAGTCTATCACCAGGCGATTGGTCTAAAAATTAAATTATTAAACGATTTGGTGCCCTACTATAACTACTGCCCTAAATGTCTCTGCTAGAAAGATGCTTAAAATTATATTGGAATCAATCGTTTATAACAGACCATCTCGTGGCTCACAACAGATCTGATATTGTGTTAATTGACGGTAATATTAAGGTGGCTGAAATTATAGATATTGCTGTGCCAAAGGACGGAAACATTAACTCAGTCTGTGTAGAAAAAATTCGGAAGTATCAAGGTCTAGCAGCTGAGTTAAAAAGTTTGTATAAACTTAAGAAAGTAACCGTTTGAGGCATTGTGATCTCCAGGAGTGGCCTGATACCTGTGTCTACTGTGGAAGCTACTGACAGGCTGGGCCTCCCAACTCATGTATTAAATGAAGCTCAGAAAGCGGTGCTGTTGAATACTGCCAGAATTGTTAGGACCTTTCTCAACATCCAATAGAAATTAAAATAGAACATACCTGAGATTGTTGGAGTTGATTCTCCCCCTCTCAAGTAAACAAAAAACCTTTTGTAAAAGTGTTGTCAAATAAAATAATAATAATAATATGAGAAGGAGTTAGTCGGGGGTGCGGTCAAATAAATACTAAATTATAATATATTAATTATTTTAATTTTCCGACGTTTTGACCCACTTTGCAGGTCGTCTTCAGGGCGTAGGATGTAGCACTGCGTGAGGCAGTTGAAACACTGACTCCTGACAAACTTCTTCTCATATTATATCAACGGTCAACCATCTCTACATCAATAATAATAATACTTTATTTATTGAGGGACGAGTCGCTTTAGAATAATACAAAGGGGCAGTAATGTGGGCTAAGGAGCCTCAGAGACACAAAAAGAAATGTTGAGTAATGAAATAGTCATATTAAAAAATTATAAATTACTTTCTAACTTAAATAAGTTAATAATAAAAAATTGAAAATAAAGTATAAATAGTGAAGAACAATCTAATAATTTATATACATATTTACAGTGGTATCTATTTACAATTTTATGAGGACTGGATGGATAAGAAATGATTGAACAGGCGGGATTTAAAGGTAGAAAGGGTATTGGATTGACGGATGTGGGAAGGGATGGGGATCGGATAATGAAGGATCTGACGAAAGTAGTGGTTCGGTGGGCCCTTATGTATAAATCAGAAGACCTGGAACGGGTATTGCTGGAGCGAACAGAGGATTTGAATTGGAGGAGCTCGGAGATGTATGAAGAACGGTGGGATTGGATGACCTGAAAGAGGAAGGATACCAGGAAATACTTACGATAGGAAGGATAAAGCCACTTCAACTCTACATAAATTTTACTATTTTAATTTTGCTCATATTATAATAATACTATTTCTATAATTTAGTATTTATTTGACCGCACTCTCCCTCCCACGATCAACTCCTCATATTCAATGAATTGATTTTACCTCATGAATTTTCATAAACAACTCCTTTGATAACCTACCAATTAACCTCAATATTGAATAAATGCTGTATGCTAGTTGTCATTGTTCACTATAATGAATTTATTAGTTGGTTGTTAAAGGGTTTATGTGCAGTTTATCAATGTAAAAGTCAATGAGGTGTGGAGCTTAGTACACCAATACTATTAGTTATTGGTGGAACACAATACCCTTTCGATCATTCATAACTCTTCAGGATGTTCTCCGAATTCGATGTTACTGTATCCGTTGGAAAGCTGAATTATTGCTCTTCAAAGCCGTATGAATGATTTTTTTATTAATTGACTACATAAGGAATAAATAAACAAAAACTTCTTATAGATTGTTTTTTTTTTCAATCTCCATTTGTAATTTGCAAATCAATTTTGACAGGTTCGTTCGGTTAAGACATCATCCCCGTAAACACTGCAAATTTGTCTATGAGTTTCTGCAACACGCTTAACTTTTTTAAAATAATACTACAAAATATGCCGATAATGAATGATATTTTCTTCTATATTAACAGTACAATAGCAAAAACAATAACTAAGCTAGTTTCAACAAGAGTTAACAGATATAGTTGTTGACTTTTTTTTTCTTTTTTTTTTAAATCTTATTTATTGAAAAATATTACAATCTGTCTCAAGGACATTTATAATAGTGTTCACAGATCACATTCACTCTCTATGTACAGTAAATAAAATAAAATAAATATTACAAAGAGGATAAACAATCCATCTTAGAGATTAATTCATGAGATAAGAACTGTATCATAGTGACATAAAAATAAATAGAAAAAACCGAAAGGACTTATTTGCCAACCCAATATTCCCCTTTTCAGTTATTTTAATGTACTTGGTATCAAATGAAAGAGAATTTCTTGGCGAAGTGGCGAATCTCATTTTTGAAACTTAAAATCATACCACATCTGCAATATAAGGCATTAAAAAAATTGTATCAAAACTCAAATGGTTTCAATAGTTGATAAGTTCACCCATATGCCAAAATAACGACGTTGTAGTGGTAAGCGGACCATTATTTTTGTCGGCCATATTTTTTCTCGATTTTGTATTATCATACGATTCAACTGGAAACTAAATGAGCATTCATGAGTTTTTAGTATCTTCCTAAATTAATTAATTTATTTTAAAAAAAAAAACGCCCCATTTCTGAGGATTATAGTAGATAAAAAGTTGTAGGTTGCGATAGGATGATGTTATACACAGAGACTTAGCCTGATATTAATAGTTCGATTAATTAATAAATTAATTAATTTATAAATAAAATAATAATATAATTTATAAATAAATTTATAAATTTTCTTCTGTACTAAACAAATAGGTCTTTAGAGCTTAATAATAGATTATATAATAAATTCAGGGATAGCTTTATCTTATCGCTCAAAAACGTTACATACCAACATGAAATTAACATTAAATGGCTTGGAGATTCTGCAACATAAATTATTGTATTTAATACAAATAAGAATATTCTTGACCTTTTACTAGGACACCGAATTTAGGAGGAGATTGCAGTTCCTCAATGTCTTGTATGTTGAAGTGCGGTGGTCGATGGACTTCTTTATCTTGGATACTGAAAGCTGAAACACTGGCGCAGACAACAGTTAACAAAATGGCGAACCTGATCATCTTACGAACTATCGAACTGTACTGAATTTTGTATTTCATCTCACAACTTATAGCTCCTTATCTTACCTCATATCGTTTATTAAGCTTTCTACAGAAGTAGATAAAATACATCTGTTTAAATATATGTCTATCTACTTTATTATTTAATTTTCTGTGGTTAATATTTTTTTATGAGCTCAACAAAGGAATCAGGATTTGATTTGGGGGCTTTTCGTCTTAACAAGACACTATAATTTTAGAATGTCTTTTACACGACGTAAAATTTATTTATTTATTTGTAAATGTTTTAGGAATTCAACCGCGTGGGTCATTGTCGCCCTATATTAAAATTGGACCAACTACTACATAGGCATACATAACAAAACTGCAGCTAACAAATACAATTTAAAGTTCAGAAAATTAAAAATAGTTACAGTTGAATATGATGGTACAATTGAATTAAATTTATTAAAATAGGAACTTAAATATCAAAAGAAGGTACGTTAACAAAGATAATTATTATACAGGTAATGATTTTAAGAAAAAAAAAAAAAGCTAAAAATACGTTTTTAAAAATAAAAGTAAACATAAGAAGAAGTGAAGTTAAAGAGTACAGTTTCAATATTAAAAATTACAAGAAGAAAAGTTGACAATATATAATATTAAAAAAAGATAAGTTAACAAAGACATTTAAATAAATGGTGAATGCTCTTAAGAATATAATATAAAAGTACAATTTAAAAAGTAAAAATGAATATTAAAAGAAGAAAAGTTTAAAAGTACAGTTTAAATATTAAAAATTACAACAAGAAAAATTGAAAAACCATTAAAATTAAGATTAAATGAAGAAAAAATTACAGTTATATTCACAATTTGAAGGAGAACCTACAAACTTAAAACAATTAACAGGTATATTTAAAATTACAAGATGTGATTAAAATTTTGTGTAATATTTTGATTTCCTTAAGGAACAATATTAAGTTTTTAATAACATGTGGGTCCTTCTGGAGTGATTCTTCAAAGCTATTTATGGAATTATGTTGGTCCTTAAGGGATTGGAATGCATAACATTCGGTCAAGATATGGCTCACTGTGAGAGGTACCCCGCAGGAAAGTCATTGAGTATGAGAGTCTTTCCTCATTAAATACTCGTGGGTAAGCCAAGTATGTCCGATCCTTATCCGGCTCAGTACCGCTTCTTCCCTTCTGGTCAGCAGGATGTTTAGAGTGACTCTTCGGACGTATGGCTCAACAGCCTTTAGCTTATTGTCTTGTGGTAGACCAAGCTCTTTGTCAAGCCAACCATAATTTTTCTTTGATTACAGAGACAACTTCAGAAGGTTGAGTGGTAACGATTAGTTGACCCTTTTTGACTCTCATTCAATCTGCCACCTCATTGCCTTTGATCCCGACATGACTTGGTAACCATAAAAATTTGACCATACATCCAACCATTTAAGATTAGTTAAATTATCGACAACTAGCCAGTTTTGATAAAAAGGGTCCTATATCGATATGAGAGCAGATGGCGATCAAATAGTGCCCTGCCCAGAAACGACATTACTTTCTGGTCCCTCTAATACTTGATCAGCTCTGGAAAATATGTATAATATTTCCCCGCAATAAGAGAAGTTTGTGTGGGTTTTGAATTGATGCATGCGTGATTGGACCATTTAAAAAAAAAATAATAATTTTAAAATGTACGAAATGAGTAAAACTATTCAAGGCTCTAATCTTTTATCGTACAGATAAGTGATTATGGCCTGGATTTTATCTTTCATTAAAAAGATAAAATATTTAAGCCTTGGATTTTATTTTAAGAAAAATAAGAAATTAAATTTAAAAGAATATGTGAATAACTTTAATAAAGAACTAGGAAAATATATTTATTTATTTTTACATTTTCCTCTAGATGTTTTATTTAATAGTATTAGTATTCCTTTAAGATTTTAAGTATTTTGATAGTATTGATACCCTTACTTACTACAGGGTACAGGATACTAAAAGCTGAAACACTAGCGTAGACAGCAGTTAAAAAAATGGCGAACCTAATCATCTTGCAGACTGACAAATTAAACTGAAATTTGAATTTAAACTTATGACCAATCATTACATCCCAAACTCTTCAATCACATCATAAACCTGGAGGATTAAAATAAATTCTAATAAATCCCATCAAATCATTAAAACCTTTACCCTTCGCCGTAAACATATGGCCTCCTGTCCTACAGTATCCTTTAATAATATCTCACTTATCCCTGTTGAACAAATCCGATACTTTGGACTTCACTTGGATAAACATATAATTTGGAATCCTCATACTAGTCTGAAACGACAAGAAACCGCTCGACTTTTCCGACTACTCCAACACTTACTAGATAAACGCTCTAAGCTTAGTTAATTAAAAAAGACTCATATATATGACTACAATAAGACCTATTTGGACTTACGGAATTGAGCTTTGGAGCTCCACTAAGCCATTGAAATACTCTCGTATCCACTCCTTACTATCCAAAATCCTTCAGAAAATCCTCAATGCTCCTTACTTTGTCACCAATAAAATAATCCATAACGAGCTTAATGTTCCTTATGTTTCCGATTTTGCCCAATCCAGATACCTATCCTTCCATATTAAACTTTAGAACCATCCGAATCCTCTCCTTCTAACCTTGCTTCCTCTTCTATCCCTGATAAACATCCCAGGCGTCTGAAAAGAAGATGACCTCTTATCGTTGATACACTTTTTTTTTTTTTTAGAATGCTACCATTGGGTAGTTTCTCAACAAGTGATTTCATATTATTATTTTCTGTTATCAAATTTACTAACTGTATTTTATTTATTAATACAGTTGTAAATATCATAAATAAAAAAATTAATTTAATCTCACAATTTATAACTCCTTATTTGGCCCAATATTTCTTATTAAGCTTTCTAGGAAAGTAGATTAAATATATCTTTGTTTAACTTCTTTAATAATATCCTATATATTATCTAATTTTCTGTGATTAACAATTTTTTATGATCTCACTAACCACTGAAATTAATTCCGGTGCTCAGGAATTCGGGAAATGTATTGTATTAACTATTGCAAAAATAGTACTAAAAAAAAAATCAGAAATCACCTTATCCTTCTTATGAAAATTTACTTGTTTAGTTATGTAAACATTTTGGAAAACTGAGAAAATTATCTTCCAGGGATTTTTAAAATTAATGTTGTAGTTGAATGCCTTCCACTACGCATCATGGTTTCTGCCATGTAGATTTGGTTGCATGTGAAAGAGAGATTCCTGAAGGAGTGGCAAAATACATCCAGGACTGTTTCAGATAATATAAGATTCCCATGGACTCATGTAGGGAAAGAGGATGGGTATAAGTAAATAGAAGAATCTGAATAGGATAAATGTCTACATAAGTAAAAACAAATATTATAGTTAACCTAGAAGCGTAATTGAAAAGTACCTGCGAGGAACTCGTATGTTTGTAACTCTACATGAATAAGCAGAACAGTCAAATATATTATGTTTTCAGTGGAATTCAAAATACCAAAAACGAGTATAGCGTATAGTTACAAAAATAGCCTTAAAAATCTCTTTTCTCTCAACTGAAAGATCGACCCTTCCGGGACAAACTAGTAAATGGTGTTTATGAAATAAAATGTTCTGATTGTGACGGTAAGTACATCATGTTCATAAATATAGCATCGAAAGAAAAACATAGGATGCGGCTATTCATGCTATTAGAAATAAACATAAAATTGAATTTGATAAAGTTAAGGTACTATACTTGGAAAAGAATCAACAAAAAAGGTTGAATCCAAAGATGGTACACATATGAAGGAACAAAAGCATAATACCCAGAATGATCTAAAAATTAAATTGTGGGTATAGCAACATTTTAATATTAGTATAATTTAGAAAGGAGATTTGGCTTAGGATTTTAAACTGGTTATCTAGTAACGTTATGTTTATTTAGTGAAGGTTAGAATACAATTAGAGAATGTGAACTATAATGAAGTTTTTTTAGTATCGTTTCATACCTTTATAATGTTGACAACATTTTATAAGAACACTATTGTATACATATATATATTTTTTCAAGTTGTTTATATATTGTTATATGCTTTATCAATTTTAAAGTTGTTTTTTCCTCTCTTCACATCTTCTGCATCTGTCATGAGAGTGACAGACAATCAACAGACTTGATATGAATACAGATGCTAACGGCAGGATAGCACTCAGCGGCATCTCTTTCTAGTTTTGCTTCCGTAAACCAGGGAAGGAGATCTCTCATCCAGCTCCTCTTCAGTCTCCTCCTAATGGGCATGTCAAAGGTGGCCATGTCGGTTATGGGTCTGTTGTGTCCTTGTATTTTAACATGAAATCGTGAGTAAAGAGTTCGTATGTGTTGGTCGACAGATGGTTTTCGTATGTCGTAAAAATTTGGATTGAAAAGATTGTCGTTTTTGTAAGTGTGTCTTTTTTGCTAAACCATATATCTGTGAGGTCCATGTCCAAATGGGTTTAACTAGATATGTGGATGTATTTAGTTTTTGTATGATTTGGAAAAAAGAGAATATAGTATTTTCAGTCGCCTGTTTCAAGTCTTTCGTTTCATTTTGCAGTAATGAAATTGCCAGAAAAGCTTTAATTCTGGCTTTAGAACTCCTATCCCTCTCCTCTGGCCCAGTAAAAACTCCATATTGTCTAAAAGGCAAAGAGGAGAAAAAATAGAAAATTTGTAAATCTGCATTTGTTTATTTCCTTTATATGTTGTTTTTTTTCCACATACAAGACCTTAGACTTTTCTTTCCTCATATTCAGGAGTGGGTCAAGACCCATGTTTCACTACGATAGTTTAAAAAGAAATGAAAAATGTCTTTATTATTCTGTGACAAAGTTTCTTATGAATAACATAAAAATAACATTACATATTGGCCAAACCAGTGTGAGAAAGGGCATCTATTGCTTGTTTCGATCCTGGTTTTCTTCCATGAAATTCATCTGATCATGAAACGTACAAGTTTAACCATATTGCTGAGGTAGGTTAGCTGTGATCAGAAGG